TATATATGTGTGTGTGTAGCGGTTTGCCTGGAGTTCCCATAATTGATAACAGGCTTTGAGGCTAGTGAATGGCATCCTTTTACCTGGGTCACGGGTACCCAAGATCCCTGCAATTAACACACAATGAAGCATGTGATAGGTCCCTCGTATGCTAGGGGTATGCTCAGTCATGTTGTAGCATGGATAAAAGAAGGGGTCTTATTTTTTTTTTACATACTCTGAATTATTTTAAAAAACTGATCCCATGGTTTCTGTTATACTGTATATCCTGCTCTGTTTATTCACCTGCATTTTAGAATGTGCATTTGATTTGCTGCTATACCACAGACATTAATAAATACTGTAGATTTAACCTTTCTGCTTGCTAGCCAGTGCTGAGATAAGCAATTGTTTACTATAGAGAAGAAAAAGCAGGTTAGCTTTTGGAGGAGTTGTTCCAGTTGAATAAACTAAACTTCTGACCTTCACTAAATTAAAGAGTGCTTCTTGTGCACTGGACCATTTCTATTTACAGATGTGCCAGCAGCAAATACTCTTGTGCTTTTATAGTTTGCAATGCTGAATAATGCTGAAACATCTGAGACAGCTAAAGAATTCCCATGTTGCTGCAATTAGAGCACTTCACTTAGCACTGGGATCAAGCGAGAATTATTCTTGGTACTTTGACTAGTTTGGGGCAGGGATGCTTAACCTAGTGGTTAGGATGTAGTTTCCGAGCCATTTATGGTGGTTGTGGCAAATTAAAAATGGCTAATTCTCTTCAGTTCCACAACATATGCTTTTTATTCTGATGCATACTTTGATCACTAATTATGAGATTTTAGTAAGCTTCCCATACTGAACAATTGCAGAGAAGTAGAACATTTTCATATCCAAACAGATACATAATGCCCACCATCCTTTGTGATATAATTAGGTTGTGCACAATTATAACATGAAATGTCAAGGGCAGTACAACACCTGGGCTTATCTTGTTTTCTTTACCTTCCTAATCTTACTGTTTACTATCAGCAAATGTACATGTGAAACTATTCACAAGCCACTATGTGTTTTCTAAGTAGCTATATATTTTGCACAATTATTTGGAGTGTTGGCTGATATAATAATTAATATGATTATTGCTGTCATTTCTAGAGAGCCAATATGTGATGCAGGGTAGTAGATCAATTAATACAGGGGGTTAGTTTACAAGCTTCAAACAGCTAAAAGATAAACAAATTGCAAGTTGCATAGTCCTCCAGATCTGGTGAAACTGACACTTTCCAGGCAGAAATCGATTTTCTAAATCTGAATTTGCAAATACCAATTTACCAGAGAGAATTACAGAATTTGCGAATCCTATTTATCAGTACATGAATCGCACATTAATGAGGAGACAAATCTGCATGCACAATTTTGACAGAATCTGGGAACAGTTATCTTTTAAAAATGATATAAGGTGCAAATCACAAATTTTAAATGTAAACCTCTACAAAAACATGAAATAAGGAGAAAATGGACTTGCCTGAATGATTTTGTAATCTGGAAACGTTTAGACACAGTAAGTATGGTAGGTAGATGACCACAAGCACAGTGGGGAAGGTAGACTGACTGCTTTATAGAGCTGTGTTTGAAAGGGATTTTTTAAGCATAAGGTTTAATAGGTTAGGTAAAATAATTCTAGAACATTGCAGTAGTTTGAGAGAAATCCTAAGAAAGTGAATAGGATAAGGTTATAAATTGTGTAGATATAAGATGGTCACTGGAGGGCAAAGAGGGCAGCAAAGAAAGGATGTGTGGAAGAGGTTCTAAGATATGGGTGGTTTGTGAGTTGTGAAGCATTGTTGAGGCAAAGCATGGTAACCTGAAGTTTACTACCTGGTTCAGCAGAAGCTGCAAAACTGATAAGATGACAGAAGATGCATAGTGATTAACTGAAAAGTATCTGATTTAAAAGGTGTACAGGGTTTGGAAATGAAACGCTGATGTCTATACTGAATGGCCAATTTTTTTCAAAATGTTGCAGAAAGAGATGGGGGAGGGGGGTAATTATTGCTTTGTATTATACTTCCTCTAATAGCTATCCTTCCAGTCGACAGAGATCAGTGACACCACTTTCCAAGCTCCTTCTGTACTATGTTTACCATATGAAGAGAAAGTTTCAGTCACTTCCCGTCCCACCACAATCTATGTAAATGCTCTCAGCTTTTTGCTGCAAAGAATGATTATATGGATCTAAGTAGAACTGGTTGTTAAATGACAAACACTTGTTGCATTGTCAAATTGTAGCTAGTTGTTTCAGACATCTCTGTAATTCAAGTGACTTGCTATTGACCTTCGGGGTTTCTTTTTTAAAAATTAGACATTTGTGTGACTCTGGGGTGAAAAACAAAATGTATGACTGGAGAGAAATGTAAATTCTTCAGATCATATATAAAATTGTCTGAGGATGTTTTTGGTTCCCTTCCTTTTTGATGAGCCTTATTTTTAAAGTTCATTGGCACAAGAAAATATTGTGTAAGATTGCTCACAGATGCATAGAAGAATTTCCATAACATTTGGGCTGTAACATTTGGGGCACACATGGCATTAAAGGAATATATGTAGTCAGGTTTTCTGGAATTGGCTCTGTCCAGCTGGTTTTTCATGCTATCACCATTATCCTCTAATATTCTTATCTTGGTCCTTGCTGATGGGGTTTTTAGCTCATTGATTTTCTATCCAAACTAAAATCAAACACAATGCAATTTGAGAGTAGTCCTATTATTAGAAATCCCGTCTGCTTTATTTCTTCTTTCTGCAAACCTTTGAGCACTGAATTGGTTATGAGCTCTGATCAGAATAGATGTTAACTGCTGTTGTGTCTATTCCACTTCATCTGTGCAAAACCAATTGCACTGTTTGAAGTTATGTAAATGAGTTGTTTACTGCTAATTAAAATGTGTCTGTATTTGGGCCAAGGGGATCCTGAACCACATGATAGCTCTGAGCTGTGCTTCAATTGCCTGTTTACAGTTACTGGGAACACAAAATTTTGTTCAGCTCCAGGAGCTGTGATTCAAAATAAAACCTCTGTACTTTGAGGGTTCTCTGACCTCCACTAAATCCAGTTCTCTTGTTAGGCATGAGCTTGGGAACCTAATACTATGGAGGTGCTTCCTATTAAATGAGACCTGTTACTCAAGTTGTCACATACTGCTGTGTTTCTCATTTCCCTTCAGGGAAAGAGAGTGAAGCATATGTTTAGAGTTACATTAGTTTATATTTCAAAGAGAAATGTCTACACTATGGTAACATATTATACATCAGTCTATTGCATGTTTTATTTTATTTTTTTGTCAAAGTGATGTGCACATAAGTTGTGTGTGTGTGTAAGTAGTGTGTGTGTGTGTGTGTGTTTCTCAGCACACTTACCGGCAAAAAAAATACACTGGCTAACAATTTGCGTAAAAAAACAGAGCTTTTAAATGCACAACATTTGCAAACAAGTGGAAGCCACACTGCCTCGTCAAGGCTCCTCTGTAAAGTGTTGTCCTAACTCTGATATATTAAAGCCTCTATCTTGGAGCATACATCAATTACATTGTGTGTGTGCGCAAGAGACATTATGGGGGTGATTTACTAACCTAAACACACACACGCACCAGGTGCATGTGCATTTTTACACAGCAAAACGTATTTATCAACCAAACACGAGCAACGTGTCACATTTTCACGCCCTTATGGTGCGTTTTTATGTATTTACGTACGTGCGCGTCATGTAGCATGCGCCATAGGCTACACGCCGCTCTAATAGCGGCATGCAAGTCTCTAAAAGCATATTTCCACTAATGCCATATATGGAAAAATCATGCACATGATGCATATATAATGCTGCTTCACAGTTTAAACAAAAATGGTTAGCTCATGCATTTACATTCCTGCATTCATCAACGCAAGCAACACAACGTAGAGCTAATTTACACAACATCACCTTGCAATTCATGCAGGGCTTTGATTAAATGTGTCTAGATTCCACCAATAGATCATGCTGGGTGGGAACACACTACAGAGGTGTATACTTGTTCGTGGCATGTTTATAAGGTTAGTAAATCAACCCCTATGCATCAGTTATATGTATGTGCATACAGGGGACACTATACATTAGTTCCATAATTGTGTGGGAGAGCATATGGATCTAAAATGTA